AGTGAAATGATTTCAAATTTCCAGCCCAGACAGATTCGATGTGGAGTGCACAATACTGATAATCCTTGTCTGCTAATCTTTATAGCAGCAATCAGCTGCCCTGTTTTTACTGTGATATTTGTAGGAAGTAAAGAGAAACTTTTGAATGCTTTTTTCGATCCAGTCCAGATCCCACAGAAATCATTGAAAAGATTCTCATTGGTTTTTCTTGATCAGGCTCTCCATGAAGATAGGGTGGTAAGATATACCTACATGGCACTGTAGAAGAAATGTAATGTTTGAGTCAGAGGAGCTGAGCACATGGGGGACCGAGGGCTCTGGCCCACCTCAGGAAGAGGCTAGGGTGACCACCCATCCCTAATTGGTTGGGACAGTCCTGAAATGGGAACATCAAGTCCCAGCCCTGGGCTGCATGACTCCAGGACAGCATTTGTCCCAGATTCCTAGTATCATACAGGGATCCGGGTTCTCTGTTCACCATGGAAAAACATGGGAAACGACAGTTTTCCCCTTGCAGGCTGGCACAATTCCAACCTGCAAGGGGCTGCAGGGACTGGGACTCGGGGAGAGCCATGTGCACGCGCACACACATGGACATGGCCAGGAATACAGCCCCTGGCAGTGGTGGAGAGCAGCTCCCCCAGCTGCCTGCAAGTAAGTCTGTGGGCGGTTGGGCAGATTGAGGCTCCACAGTGAGGGAGAGAGTGGGGCAGGGGCTGGGCCTGGGGGTGCTGCCCATCCAGGGTGGTGCATGGGGCCCAGGGCCGGGACAGGGGGTAGGACAGAGCCATGGGCAGCTTGTCCATGGGGTGGGGGGGGACAGTTTCCTGCTGTTTTGTGCCCTCCTGGGGAGGGGGATATGGTAGGACGTGTGCCCCCCCCCGATTTGTGCATCTGGTGGGGATGGATGCAGGCTGTCCGCTGCAGCTTGGGGCTCCCTGCCCTGCTGCGCTGCCCCTGGGAGCCCTGTGGTGGCTGTGCCACCATGGCAAGGCACCCCCTGCCCACCCAGCAGCAGCAGGGGGGATGCAGAGTTGTGCCTCCCACTGCTGCTGGCTTGCACAGTGGCACAACCGGCATGGGGCTCTCAGGGGAGGGCAGTAGGGCAGGGAGCCCTGAGCCTGCAGTGGGCAGCCTACCTCGAGCCCCCATGTGCTCCACTTGGCTCTGCTCCAGCCATGCCATATGGGGTGTGGGGAGAGAAAGGAAGGCCCCCACCCACCCTGGGCAAAAATAAAAGTGGGTGCCTATGGTTTGAGTGAGTGTCATACAGCTGCCTCTACCTGGATAGAGAAACTTCAGTTATAGCTTGAATAAGAATGTACCCCAAGACATGTTCCTCAGAGTTCCTACTGGCTGATCCCTTATTCCTTGGTCTGGATAAGAATGGATCATAACATTTAGAAGTGTCTGTTTTACAGGATTGTTTTGTTAATTAGAGTCTGTTTCAGCCCAGAGGCAGAGCGCTTCAGGTTGGCCTTCCTCAGATCATAGAATCCAAAACAATGGAATAATGGCTTGGTTTCCAACTGTGAGGCATGGTTGAGAGGAACATCCATGCCCAGAACACAAAATCTGAGCTGGATACACTGAGCCTCTGGAGAGTCTCCCCTTCCTTTGTCCCAAATAAGAGAAGTAAAGACAGACACTTGGGACTTGGTCAACCACTTTCAGCCCTGTTTCTCCTGTGTATACTCAGTAGGAGTTGCCTCTGTTCCATGGGAATGCTAGCTGGGCATGTAACTGTGCAGGTGCATTAACAGCCTTTACGGAGGGGTGCCCAGGTGTAAAGCTTCTCCACATTCAAAAGCCCGCTATAGGTGTTCCTGCATTGGTGACCTAGCCTCCGAAAGGAAGCTTCAGTCTCCTTTCTTCAAGTCCCTCCCCCCCCCCTCCCCCCCCGACCTTCAGTTAATACAGTTTCCCCGCTTTAGCCAATTCATGTAAGTGGGCAGTCCTGCAGTGCGATGTGTCTGTGTTCTGAAGGAAGCAACTTAGGAAAGCAAGCAACCAAGCACCATGAAGCTGCATATGTCTTTTTCCTCAGTAGTTTTGTATACAAAGGTGTTTCTGCATATTAACCTTGCAACCTTATCTTGTGTTCTTCAGGTTATGTCCATTTTGTCTTATGCCTGCCAGTAATAAAGGCCTTTGTTAACAACCAAACTTTACCACGGTCATACACAAACCACTTCTATTGTCTTGCTTTTAATGATATTTCTGCAGCTTTGTTACTGCCAGTGTGTTTGCACCCAGACACTGATTGGAACTTGCAACCAGAGCCTATTCCACTTATTAGATGTCTAAGAAAAGGCATTAATGCACCTACTTCTGTAATACACCATAACCATAAGCTTAACAGTAAGTCACAAAAAGCAGCAAGGAGGAAGGGGACACACCCATCTTTTGTATTGACAGTTTCTCAGGGACTCAAGTAGGGTAGAATAAGATTGCATTTAGGCACCTAAGTCCACTTAGAGATCTAATAGGTGGAATAGAATCTGGCTTGGAGTGAACAAGTTGGTTGTCAATGCAGGAGAGAGAATGGATAGCATCTTAGTAACTCAGTTTCACTGCTTCCTGTGAGACTCAGAAGTTATCAAAAGCTTAATTTCATCACTCAAATAAGCAGACTTGGCCTCAGGACTGGTTCTCGGTAACAAGGTACTATTTTGCATCATTGCTTTCCAGAGTAGAATCTCAGGTTAAACGTAACTAATTTTCTCTCTCCTAGTGAATACACCCCTGGGAAGCCCTGGTCTTTATTTGTCCCTTTGCAGTTTTCTGCTGTGACTTTCTGAAGGCAGATATTCTTTGTTGTTGGTAATACCAAACTGCTTCCCTTTCTCTGGATATGAAGTTGAGTGCTCTTCCTTCTCTTGTTTGATTTATTCTACATCATGGGAAATTATTATGTTAGTGGAAAATTATGTGTTATTATATTTCCTTTTCCGTTTTTCCCCCCCGTGTCACAGTACTGGAAAGAAAAGGGATACTTTTTACCTAGGGAGTTCTGTAGGCGCCAAGATGCATCTGAAGAATCTAATGAGTGTTAAAGGCTACCAGGCTGAAAATCAGAGCTGTTTATACCAAGGTTTTTAGACCTGCCTGCATGTCACAGGCATTGCTTACTTTATACAAAATCTCAAGAGCCTTCAAGCCACAGGGTTAAATAACAAGTCTTTAATCACCCTGCAAAGTCTCTGCACCACAGAGATAACAAAGACTTGTTCTCTGCTTTTGGAACCCACAGGTGTCCCAAGGTAGCCAGGTAAAAAGAGGCATGTGGGAGTTGTTGTAATGCTGCAAAGATTCAACCCAAACATTGGGGGCATTCTGTTTTTTTAAGCTCTGGGAGCATTAAGCAGACAGCACTGTAAGGATCTCCCACACAGCAGGATGCAGACCAACTCTAGTCTGTCCTCAAGCCTGAGAGCTGAGGGCTATGGGGAAGACCCCTCTGCTGCTCTAGGGAATGTCAGTCCAGCCCTTTGGCAGCCTGACCTGATCAGCCTTCTCCATGAGAAGTGTGTGTTTGCTCTCTGTCAGCTCAATGTGGTAGAAAGGTCACCAGTTAGCAGTAAGAGGTAGGTAGTGCAGCCAAGTCCTACAGAGATGCTGAGCTTCCCTTAGACCCCCTACAATGAGATTTGCCACAGGGACTGAGCTAGTATTCTGTGCCTTCACATACTCAGGGGCTCTTGGGGGTGGTTGTCCTCACACCTCTTGCTTTAAAGAGCCTTCATGGGGGTTGCAGCCATAGGGGGTCACTGCACCCAGTCTGCTTATGTGCTGGAGACCAGCTATAACAGTGCTACCCAGCACTGGGGGACATGGCAGAAAGGGCAACACTGAATGTGACCCATCCCAAGGGCCTAGCTGCCTGTATTTTTTTCTTCAAGAGAAAAATAGAGGACATAAAGGCATCCAGTTTTATATCAATACAGGACAGAGGACAACAGGACTGTCCTCTGTGATGGCCACCCTACCCCCCACTGCTTCTCCGAGGCCAGAGCCTGGGCTGCCACCACTGACTGTCCCAGAGCTAGAGCCAGGCTGCCAGAAGGTAGGTAGTGGGAGGACTGGAGGTGCTGGGATAGGCAGCTGGGACACAGGCTCAAGCACAAGGGCAAGGGGCAAGTGGGGGGGCAGGCTCTGAGGGGGATTCAAGTGGCATGGGGGGATAAGTGGTAGGGGGCAGGCACAAGCATGGGGAGGCAAAAGCGGGAAACAGGGAAGGAGGGCAATGAGCAGGGTTCTGGTCTCTTGCCACCTGCTGCTGCTTTTCTCCACATTGCCCACCACAGTGGTGGGGGAACAGACTTAAGACAAGCCTTCAAAAATTAGCTTCTAGTCATGGAAAATTATACCAAGACTTACAATTTTCCATGTCTAGAGTCTAATTATTGGGAGATCATCTTACATTTAAAGGGGTTTTAGATTTGGGTAAATATGGTATTATGATCATTTACAGCAGTTCAGAGAGTGTAAAAGGTCACCATTCCAAACTGGTTATTATTGCTTTTGCATTTTACACTGGTATAATCAGGCATAGGGGGTCACCCCACCCCAATTTGCTCTACTGTGCTGGAGACCAGCTGTGTTAGTGCCACCCAGCATGGGGATGTAGCAGAAAAGGCAGTTCTGAAGGGGCTTGCAAGAGAGAGCAATGTCCCTTTGTGCAAGTCGCAAGGGATTTTGAAACTCCAGCTCTCCCTCAGAGTTTCTGCCCTGTTCCACAAGCCAGGCAAGTAGGGTTCAGTTTCCAGAAAAAAAGAGGGTTTTTTTTGAGGGGGGGGAGCATGGCCTGGGAGAATTGCAGAGTCAGCACCGTCAGCCTGTGGGATGGGGGCAGAGCAAATAAGAACAGAATGTGCCATCTCCGTCTAGCTTGGCAGAAAGGGAGATGGACACAGGTAAGTGCCCTGCAGAACCATCACAAACTTAGGACAATGATGCCTGCCTGTTTAACCCCCCTCTTTGTGTCCCACCATCACTAGGTGACAATGGACATCAGTGGTCTCCCAGTGGAGCTGTGGCGTCTGATTTTGTCCTACCTGCATCTTCCTGACCTGGGCCGCTGCAGCATGGTGTGCAGGGCATGGTATGAACTCATTCTTAGCTTAGACAACACACGATGGCGACAGCTGTGTCTGGGCTGCATTGAGTGCAGGCACCCAAACTGGCCCAACCAGCCTGACGTGGAGCCCCAGTCTTGGAGAGAAGCCTTCAAACAGCACTACCTAGCCTCAAAAACCTGGTCTAAGAACACCCAAGACCTTGAATCTTCCAACTGTTTCTACTTATTCCGACGGAAGAAGGATCGCCGTGTCCTCTGTGTAGGGCCTGGGTATGAGTTTGAAAGCCTCCGAGTTGCCTTGGCCGCTGCCAACCCCTATGATCGGATTGTGCTGCTGCCTGGGGTGTATGAAGAGCAAAGTGAAATTGTCCTGAAGGTGCCAGTGGAAATCGTGGGGCAGGGGAAGCTGGGGGACGTTGCCCTGCTAGTCAGCATCGACCAGCACTGCCAAACCACTCGCCTGTGTAATGTAGTGTTTATGCCTGCCTGGTTCACCCCGGTGGTCTACAAGGTGAGTCCAAATGTATTTTGAGGGACTCAAATGCCAGCCCTCCTGGGCAGGGGAGTGGGGGCATGTGGTGTAATGTAGGCCCTGTTAGCACACTGCTGTCTGGACTTTGGGAAGGAACCCAAGGAGTCAGAACGCTCAGGTTTCCTTTCTGGCTCTGACCTGACTTACTGTTTGACTTTGCATAAGTTGCTGTGGGCCTGATCCCCAAACCCGTGCATAGGCTGAATATTAATTTCCTCTGTGAACCTAGTGGAACTACTTGAAGAGGGTAAGGAACTGCTTCTTATAGGAAAATCTATGAGACTCTGACCCACAGCCATTTTAAGACTCAGTTTACCTACCGATGAAATAGAAACTTCCCTTCCAGGAGTTATGGGATGTAGTTATTTTTTCAAATTAGTTAATTATATAACTTAACTGTAAAGTTCTAAGAAGGAAACTACCATGTATATTTTAACAGGAAAACCAGTGGAGTGAAAAATAGTAATTAAAAGAAAGAAAGAAAAGCTTCCTGACCAGCTTTTGTTTAAAAACAAGCAAAGGGAGGTTTAACTTTCTCATCACTGCTTCATGATGGCCAGTGCCTTTTGAGCTTTCTCTCAGTGTGGCCAGTGGAGGCAGATCCATTTCACTTGAGTTGATGGTTAATTTTACTTTCTGGCTCTTACCCAGAAGCAGCATGCTACAGCATTTGGGTGGCAGGCAGTGAATAAAGTTTCCTTCCAAACAGAATTGCTTCTGACTGATGTGAAAGCTTCCTAGCAGTATATATTTGATTTTAAGTCTTACAAAAGCTTTTGCTGAACAACTTCCTTTGTCGGAAATGGACTTGATGGGGTCTCATATAATTAGTCTTTTCCATAAAGGAAAGGAAGAAGCAATAAGTATGTAGGGCTTGATTCAGCCATCCCATGCTCAAATACCGTAGTGCCCTTGGGGCTTGTCTACACCATGAAGGTGTGTTCCAGTCAAGCCATTTCTGAGCACACTTGGCCCACCCACTCCCGCATACATTCTTTGAACCCAGTGCTGAACCAGTGAAGACCTTTGGGTGCATCTCTCCATCACTGCTGGTGTCATGTCAGTCTCTGGCATGCTTGGGAGAGGCTGCTGGGAATGCTGCCAGAGTGGTTCATATGTACTCTTCTGGGTTTGGGGCATGTAAGTGGACAGGGTGCAGTCTGGGCCATGCCAGGACATGCCACTCTCATGGTGTAGATGAGTCCTCTATTTGTTGATCTTGGCCGTCACGCATGTCAGAAAGCACGCTTCCAATGCGTGTGGTTCCTGTGCCTCAGAATGTGGAAATATTAAAATAAATGTGTTGCTGTAAATCATGGCAGTTGATGCAAAACAATTCCCATGACTTCAGAGCATCTGTCCCCAGGCCCTGATTTGCCTCCTTTAAGCACTTGCCTCCTTTAACTGACTGTTAGGAGCATACCTCTGGGAATCAAGGGATAATCAAGGAAGAGAAACAAAATAATGACTAAGAAGATTTCCTGTCAAATTAGGTATCGGGCAAGATTCCAGGCAAACTGTTAAGCTTTTCTTAATAGGCCCCTCTGAGTTCTGGTTCACTTCATTGACAGGGCAGGGCAGGGAAACTTGTGCTGGTCTTGTACCAATTCTGGGTACAAGCAGAGAGCTTTGTCATGCCTCTTGTGGTAGAGAAAAACTCTTCTGCTAGTGATATCTGTGGTGCTGAGGCTCCCAATAAAACATGGTCTGTGTGGGCTACTGTTAAAATATCTCTTAAGCAGTGGAAAGAACAGCTGCAGAGTGGAAAAAAACTGGGATAATTTTGCGTAGAGAAAACTGGGGCAGGGTGGGGTTTGATAAGTCTTCAGCTACAAAAGCAGCTGTTAGAAAGAGACTAGCGATCGAATGTTCTGCATGTCCGTGTGCTGAAATTACAGAAAAGGAAATTTAGGTTGGATATTCAAAGGAACTTCTTAACTGTGAAGGGGGTCAGCACTGGAACAGATCACCTTAGAGAGGCCAAGAAGTCTTTGTTCCTGGAAGTTTTTATGTGCAGGTTGGACAAGCTCCTGTGTGGGACAGCTTAAACAGGGAAGATCCTGCATAAGTTACTGAGATCCCCTCCTGTCCAGTAATTTTATGACTACGTTACAGACATTAGTGACCCAACACTGCATTCACATGGCACTTGCTGTAAGGGGAATAAAACAGGAATGACATTTGTAAGCTGCAGTGCTGAAGCAGATAGGGAGGGAGCAACATCTGATGCTCTTGCAAAATGTTTGGGCCCTACTGCATGGGTGGATGGCATGTGTTATGCCTGTGAGTATGTACAGCAGATGCCCCTGGGATATTCTTAAAGACTTAAAGACCAGAAGGACCATTAGATCATTCTACTCTGATCTTCTGAATATTACAGGCCATTAAGGTTTACCAAGCTGCCTTATGTGTACAACTCATTACCTTACATTTGCAGACAGGTAGATGACTAATGTGCACATCAATAGTTTTGAAAGGGCTCAGAAGAGCAGCACAGGTGTTGCTTAGGTCCAGTGATTACAGCATGTCACCTAGGGAATCTGGTGACTGACTGTGACAGATGGAGCATGCCATGTTAGTTAAAGGTACAAAGCTAACTGATCTCTAGGCTGAGGGTAGAAGCCAACTGGGGTAAATTTGTGTGGGTTTTGTAATTTGTAATCCATGATCTACTACATGTAAAGAGGTAGGACATTTCTGTGGAAAGAGTAGAGGAACCTGCAAGTCTCTCCAAAAATGGCCATTGCTCTGGGTATTTACTTTGTGTTGTTATCACTATTCTCCAGACAACCTCTGGCCACGTCCAGTTTGACAACTGCAACTTCGAGAATGGGCAGTTACAGATCCATGCGCCAGGCACGTGCCAGGTGAAGTTCTGCACCTTCAATCAATGTAGCATCAATTTCCACAGCGTGGCCCTCTGCGTCCTTGAGAACTGTGAGTTCATTGGCAGTGAAAATGCCTCTGTGACTGTGGAGGGCTCCCCGACCTCTGATCGGAACTGGGCCTGCAAGCACCTGACCATGCTGGCCAAGTCCCGCTCTGTTCTGTTACAGGCCCCAGATTCCTCACCTTGCAGCAGGTCAAAACATGAAGACTGGGGGGACTCTCCAGTGGGGAATATAAGGACCTGTGAGATTGTGGTAGGTGGGGACCACAGTAACTTACCTCCTGCCTTAAGGACTCCACCAGCACTTGAGCAGACTTGCGAGAAGGAGGCTGAGCTCAATGGGAACCTTTATACAGCCAAGGAGGGGGAAGCCATGACCCTTGACACAGACTCTAGTGATAGCGAGTTGAGCACCGGCAGTGAGAATGAGGGAGACGACCAATCGATGTACAAGCTGTCCTATCAGGCCCATAGCCTGAGTCACATGCTGACCAAAGTTATCTACAGCCGGCCACAAACCAATGGGTTGAATGCCCTCCAGAATGACTTTGAGCTCAAAAGTCTGCAACAGGAGCTGCAAAGAGACAAGGAGGCCCAGTCTCTTGCCAACTCTCTGCAAGGATGCCTCATCCGGCGGTGCCTTTTCAGGGATGGGAAGGGTGGAATCTTTGTCTGCTCACAAGGGCAAGCCAAAATGGAAGGGAGCATCTTCAGGGACCTGACGTATGCAGTGCGATGCATACAAAGCAGCAAGGTGCTGTACAGGCTGGTAAAGAGCCCTCTCTTCCCCCACCCCAGCTCCACAAATTTGGCCTTCCTTGGATTTCAATAGGCAGCTGGTTTACCCAGCTGAGCTTAACTAGCACCCCACTTGGTGCCTGTAGGAAAATTGTGGGTGCAAGTGGAGGCATTGAGACATCTATCTGGCCTCACCCTTTGGTCAGGTAGTTAGATATCTGAATGCCCCCATTTTTGAAGGAACTTGACTCTGTTTGTGGCCCTGTGGTCAAAAAGCTGCTCATGCCTGCTGGCTTATCGGGCTTGTGTAGTAAAGTTAGATCAAGGGCATATAGAGGCATGATTTGGCCAGCATCCATTTTGGCTGCCTTTGCCCTAGCCTAAATGACCACATGGGCAGTGATAGGCTAACCTGCTCAGACAGAGTTCCTTCTTGGTCTCCAGTGATTAGAAGCTGAAGCCTATAGGTTGATATCTCTTTAGCAGCTATGATGTGGAAAAGTGGCCCTACATTCCATGACTGCTAGAGTTCAGAGTGTCTGAGTATTCGTATCTCTTCAGAAAAGGCCTAGGGCAGTGATGCTTCATCCTCTGGCACTGTGAGCCAGACAAGTGGTGCAGGGTCAGTCCATGGGCCAGATATCATGGGCAGGATCAGTCCATGGATCTGATCTAGCGTGGAGTCAGCATATGGATTCAGTCCGCGGATGCAATCTGGTATGCTGACCAAGTCCCTCACACTGGATCTGGCTGTGGAGTGACCTGCTTGCTGGCCCACCCCTGAGCATCTGAACTGGCTGTAGAGGAGCCCTGCAGGGCTGTCATCTGGCCTGCAGGGCTCTTCCTAAGGTCTGGAAATTTGGCACGGGGGACAATGGTTTCAGCATTAGTTGCTGTCATTCTGGAAGTTGCAGCAATTAATGTTGTCCCTGCTCCCCTGCCACCAAATTTATGGATCCACGGTGCTTCCCAATATTGGGCCTGTGGGGCAGAGGTTGAACACCACTGGCTTAGGGAATGAAACTGGGGAAAAGGACATCTCAGGCTATCAGGAAAAACATCCTGACAGTGATATCTCTCTAGTGGAGTGGCACTGGCATCAAGGAGAGGGGAATGAAGCCCAGCATCTCTGTTGCAGACCAGCTGTGTAAGATTTATGGTACCCTTAATTATTCATGTCCTTGCTTTCAAGCTGTTGGTTCTGTCACTGCTATGCTACGTAAGTACACTGCTTGCTTAGCAACAGGCTGTTTGTTTTTTTCCAAATGAAATATTTGGTTTTGGAATTTGCTCTGGTAGTTGTGAGTTACTGGATGGCTCAATTGTTCAACTCAAAGTTGGCCCGGAGTTAGATTCAAAATGTCATGAACTTGAGCACAATAGAAACCCTCTGAAACAGAAGCAATGCTTATCTCTACAGCAGGGTGCAAGAAAGGTGAATGTCAGTGAGGGTTCACAGTTTCTGTAATAAAGAGGAGGGCTTTGCAGACATTGGGCTGGAGGCAGAAGTTACATTACCCATACCATGTTCTGTGAAACATTTGTTTCTTTGGCATAGGGATGTGGAAAGGGCACATGAGCTTAGTTGTTGCATGCTGATTGGCTCTGCTAGCGAGCAAGATGCAAGGTGGGAGTTTATTTATCATTTGTTGTGTAGTTATTCTTCCCAGATGGAATGATTTGCAACTGTATCCTGCAGTGCTGCCCTCCTCCTCCTATTCAAGGTTGATAATCCATCCATCCTCATTGTTGCTTCCAAGAGAAGTAGAAAAAGGAATGGGGAAAGCAATTGTTAGCTGGCTTTGAAGGAAAAAGCTAATTATGGTGCCTGCAATAATTTATTATCACTTATTTATTGAACTACTATGATATCTGGAATCCTCAGGGATAAGCCAGGGCCCCAATACACTAAACACTGTGCAAACAAGGAATCAAAAAGGCATCCTAATCAGGACAAAGTAATCACACCGATTACAAATGGCAAGAATTTTTATGTCACAGAAAGACCTAGCATTTGTCCTGGGATAAACAATTTTATCCTGGGTCAAAGTGCAGTTGTTCAGACATCTGTGTCCATTGTCCCAGGATAAATCCTAAAAAGTTTCACAGGGTAAGAAGTACTAACAGTTTATCCCAGGACATCTCAAAGTGTGTCTGAACCGTTATTGAAGAATCTCATTGTTGAATCAATAGCAGAAGAGTGGCAGTGCATTCAGCTGCTTGCTAAACCTTGATTAGGGGGGCAATGTGTGCACACGCTAATCCTGGAATATTTCTGTTCCTGGACAAACACAGGTAGAATTTGTCCAGGAACAAATGCAGCGTCTGTTCCTACCCTTAGGCCTTCTGCAGCCAGGACAGGAATATCCTCTGCCCTATCCTGTTTTAACATTGTACACATTAATGCTCCTATTACTTGATGCTTGCTATATAACAGTGCTAAAATATGGGAGAGTTTTTCTTATCAAAAACAAGCTTTCTGTACCTGCAGAGAATATGCTTTCAGAGCCTTGTCCAAAGCCCATCAAAGCTAAGGAAGACTTTCCATTGATTTCGGCAGCCTTTGGCCCAGATTCATAGTTTCATAGTAGCTAGGGTCAGGAGGGACCTGAACAGATCATCTAGCCTGACCC